GAGAAGAGGAGGCTCAGGGGAGACCTCCTCACTCTCTGCAACTCCCTGACAGGAGGGGGGAGCCGGGGGGGGTTGGTCTCTTCTCCCAGGCAACTCTCAGCAAGACAAGAGGGCTGGGTCTTGAGCTGTGCCAGGGAAGGTTTAGGTTGGAGATTAGAAAGAATTTCTTTCCAGAGAGGGTGATCAGCCATTGGGATGGGCTGCCCAGGGAAGGGGTGGAGGTTTTTAAGGTGAGACTGGATGTGGCATCAGTGCCATGGGCTGGGAACCACGGCGGGGTTGGATCAGGGGTTGGACTTGATGATCTCGGAGGTCCCTTCCAACCCAGCTGATTCTATGATTCTATGAAATGGTGCCACCTCTCAGGCAGAGGGGTTCCCTTAATTAAAGAGAAGCTGGAGTCTGGTGTTAGGGCTTTAACTGGACATCACTGTCTGTGCTGATGTGCTTTTGTTTCAGTGTTGAGTCACAGAATCAATCAGGTTGGAAAAGACCTCTGAGATCGAGTCCAGCCTTTGACTCTTGGCATTGTCGTTCCTCTGTCGTGCTTCCATCCCTCTCAGGAGCCAAGCTTGGAACTCCAAGTGTCTCCTAAAATTTGCCTCAGTTCCAGGGTCATTCCGAGTTGGCTTTGCTGTCTCCTGGCAGCCAGCAGCTGTCATCCAAGGGTATGGACTTCATCTCTGTCCTGAAGAGCTCATTGTCAGCACAAAGCTTCTTCATTCCACCCTGGCTCCCTCTGGGAGAGGAGAGGCTTTTTGCATCTCTGTGCTGCCCCTGGAAGCTGCAGGTGTTAAGAGCAGGAAGGTGGGAGTTGATCCCAGTGCTGGTTCTAACACTGGTCGTGTCTTGCTTTGTGACTTTGCTTTTGCTGGTCCGTAAAATCTGTTCCTGTTCTGGAGTGTTGTGGTTTGGTGCTTACAAATATCTGTCAGGGTTGTGTTTCACAGCTTCCTCAACCTCTTCTTTGCATTTAATATGATGTGTTGAGCCTTTGTTATTGCAGTATAAATAATTCTGGAGCGTTGTGGTTGGCAGAATCCTAAAATCATGGAATGGTTTGGGTTGGAAGGGATCTTAAAGCTCATCCAGTCCCACCCCTGCCATGGGCAGGGACACCTTCCAGTAGCCCAGGTTGATCCAAGCCCTGTCCAACCTGGCCTTGGACACTTCAGGGATCCAGGGGCAGCCACAGCTTCTCTGGGCACCCTGTGCCAGGGCCTCCCCACCCTCCCAGGGAACAATTCCTTCCCTATATCCCATTTAACCCTTCCCTCCTTCAGCTTTAGGCCATTCCCCCTTGCCCTTGTGAAAAGTCCCTCTCCAGCTCTCTTGGAGCCTCTTGGAGTACTGGAAAGGTGGTGCTGCAAAGGAGAAATGCCTCTTCTGGATCTTCTGCTTCCAAACTCCTGCCTTGCTGGGCAGAAAAGGCTCCTCAGCTGTCCCTTTCTTTGCCCTGCTTAGGTTTTTGCACGGGCCAGCTCTGCAGGGTGCAGCCCTCCCTCAGCTCCTCCTGGCAGGGACAAAGATCCCTCTGTCTGCCCTCAGTTATATTTAGGACATTTAGATGAAAACAGCGACTCAGATTAAATTGAAAAGGGTTGGTGGAATAAAAAAGCTCTTCCAGTGGAAGGATGAGGGAGGGTGAATCAGCCTCAGACGGATTCAAAGGATTCCTGATGGCAATTCAAGGACAAGCAAATTTTTAAAGGCTTGATAGGAGATCCTGATTAATTGTCCAGGTGATGGGCTGGGGAGCAGCTTCCTGGTAAATTCCTGGTAAATCCCAGAGTTTGGCCTCCTACTGAGACCTGTCTTATCCCACTTTTCTAACTCATGGGAGTTCTCCAGCTCTGCTCAGCACAGACCAAGCAGTGAAGTTTGAGTAAATACCTGCCTGTCGTGGCCAGGGCTTCTGGAACCAGTGGAATTCGTATCCAGAGCCATAATGGGGGAGGTTTCTGGACACTCTCCAAAATTTCGTGTCTGCAGAACAGCTCTGAAGGAACTTCTGCTTTTTCTTCACTTGTGGAACAAAACTCTGACTCTAAGTACAGTCACATCCAGGATGTTAACAGGATATTCAGTACTGATCTTAAGGATTTAGGTTTGCCCAAATAACTGGGAGGAGCTCAGCCTGTTTTTGGACAGAGGGAGAGGGAAATCAATCTGAATTTTACCCCATTTGTTCCCTGAAATCCCTATATTTTCATCTGGTTTTTTTTGTATTTCATAACCTCCAATTTTACATATTCAAACACTTTGTTATTATTTGAACATTAACCAGTCAAGAAAGACTGAATTATTTGGAAGTTAGCAATATCCAAATAAATGAAACTTTTTTTATTTGGAGGTAAATCAAATAGAAGTGTAGAATATTCCTGGTTTTAATATCAAACTGCCACTGGAGCACCCTGAGGGATTTTTTTTCTACAGCCTCATATCCAGGATGGCACCATCCTTGATTTTTCTGTGCCTTAACCCAAACCTGTCTCACAGAAGAAGGGGTGAGGAAGGAGCCAAAAAATTTCATTTACATGGAATGGCTGCTGTGAGAACCTTTTGCTCCCGGGTAGGTGAACTTAAAAGTTATTTTTGAACATCAGATATCAGGGCTGGAAAAAAACTTGGTTGGCAAAGCTGCTCTGTTCCTTGGGGATCTCTGTGCACAGGAATTCATGTGGGTCATGGGGAATAATCCATTTAGCCAGACAGATTATTAGATTTACAGTGGGAGCAAACAGTTGGCTCTTTCCCTAAATCTTATCAGTCGTGCCTGGGAGCTGAAATGGGCTCCCCTGAAGGGTTGGTTTTCCTCTGGATGGGCTTAAAAGTTCCCTTTTCCTGCTCTTCTCTTTGTTTTGTGGGACTTGGAATCTCGGGCTGCAGGGTTTGTAGGGAAAGAAAACTGTTCATCTGCTCTGACAGAGCTGGAAAACGAATGGAGGAGAAGAATTGGGTTAATTTGGGTTTATTGTGTTGCCTCAGGTGCTGCAGGAGTGAGTCAGGGCACAGGAATTAGTGGCAAAGGATGTGCTTAAGTACCTGCTGGGGGATAATTTGTGGCCATCCAGCTTAAAACTTGGAGGAATGTGCTCTGATCTCCTTCCTGAGAGTGATTTTAATCTATATATCCAAACATCTTTAAGCTTATAGGAATATAAAGGAGTATTTTTAAAGGAATAAATGCAGTTTTGTAATGTAAATGCATAAAAGCATCCTGTTGGCTGAGATGTTCTTCATTCCAGGTTATTTTGGGATGTGCTTTAGGGTGTCCTGCCACAAACCAGCACCCAACACCTGAAGTTGTCTCCATCTCCCCCTTTTTACTGGAATAACTGGGAGTAGGAGATGCTAAAAATGCCGGGAGTGTGAAATTATTCTTCCAGCCACGTGAAACCTGTTCTCTGTTTCTCGTTTTGCTGGCTCAGTGATTTCTGCTTTTCATGGCCAGGGAAGAGAGTTGCTCCTCAGGCTGGTGGCTGTGGGCACCTCAGAGGGTTTTTTTGGGCCCTTCCAGCAAAGGTAAAATGGAATTTCCCCCCCAGACTGGGGTTAAAATCCAAGTTGTGTCCAGGACAGCAGAGTTTGGTGTCGATCACTTCTCTTCCACGGGATTCTCTCTGTTGCTGGTGCCTCAGATCCCCATGGAAACAGGATAAACTGGCAAGATTTCAGAAGAATTGGGTGGGGGAAGTGTGTGTAAAACAAACAAGAAGAAAGATTCTAAGTAAGATCTGGGGGTATAAATGTTCCTCAGATTAATAGGGAGGCATGAAATGAGCTCCCATGTGTAATAAATGCAGTGACTGTCAGACTTCAGTGAGTCACAGGCTGTTCTTGGAAGGCAAAGTATCCAACTGGTGCAGGAAAAGACTGGCCTTCAGTCACAGGAGGAGTTTGGGTAAAAAAGGGACTAAATTGGGTTGGTTTTCAGCCCCTCAGTTAACTGAGCAAACAGTGATTAAACTGCCCCGAGCCTGGGAAAAATAGGACAAGACCCTCTTGGGATGGAGCAAAGAAATGCTTTGGAGTGCCTTGGAAATGAGGAATTATCTGTTGGTTTAGTAAAGTGGCACATTCAGCAGAGACTCCACTTGTCTCATTGTAGGCCAAGATCTCCTTGATCCTTGGTTTTCATTTTTATTCCCTGGGTTGGTGTCTGCAGCCCCTCGGAAGTGGCAGGGCTTTAACTCCAATATTTGCCTTTTCTGACGTCCAGGTGGCCAAGTGGGAAGCTTTGGTGTTTAATAAAGGGCCTTTTAGTGCAGGAAAACAGGGCTGGAGTTCCTTGAGAGCAGCTGGATGCTCCCAGCTCTGTGAGGAGTGTTTGCAGCAGCCTGACCCGGGGAGAACCAGCTGGAAAATTTTGGGAATCCCCCGGTGAGTCAGAGGTTTTCCCCACGTTAATCTCGGCAGGATGGAGCTGCAGAGATGGTGCTTCAACATCTCCAGGACACTGAGGGCAGGGGAAACCAGCCAAAGGGTGGGCAAGGAATGCTTCCTCTTTGGAAAAGGTTCTGTGGCAGCAGCAGGACCAGTTGCTCGGGGTGTTGGGGGGGGGGTTTGTTGGTTTTCTCCCCGTCTCCTGGAGACAGCTCTGGCTTCCTCCTTTGTTTACAGTGCCTGCTGTGAGTCAGCTCCTGGGGGATGTTGCAGCCCTGCACATCCCCTTCTGCTCAGCCAGGTTTGGGGGCAGGAGTGGCTCCCTGAGAGCTCTAAGGGTGGTCAGGAGATCTGGTCAAGAAAAAGGACTGAAGGATTGTTAATTGTCACCCTCTGGTATGAGCCAAAGATGGTACTTTAAATTGTCTCTTCAGTTCAGAGCCTTTCTTTCCTTATTTTAGCAGCGATGTGTGGAATTCTAACACTGATCTTGCACATCCGAAGGGGACTCTCATCTTCCTTGGAAGGGAAGGAAGGAGGTTTCAAACTGGCCCTTCCCAGCAGGGTTGGTGAGAAGTGCTGTCCCAGCAGTGCAATAAGAAAATAACCAAACAAAATCCTTCTTTTAGCTTTTGGTTGGATTTAAAGAAAGTCACAGCCGAGCCTGTCACAGCCATCTGTTCCCCTGGCTGGGAACTCAGGTTGTTGTGCTGCCTTTTTCTTGGCAGTAGTGGCTCGTGTAGTGCTTCCTGCTCCTGGGAATCTGGCAGCATGGGTGTCTGGGGGACATCAGCAGGAGAGGCTGATGCAAAATGGGACAGGTATAAGCTGAAGAATTCCAGTTATTCTGTGATACTGGGACACTTGTTGGAAGTTTTATTCTCAGCTAGGCTAAAACTCAAAGCTCCTTGGTACAGAATAAGAAATTTGGAGTCAGTGCTCTCCATGTGTGGGTGCATCCCTGCTCCAGCAGCTCTGTGACAGCACTTACCTGGGACACTTTTTGGAAGTTTTCTTCTAAACTGGGCTAAAACCCCAAGGTTCTTGGCACAGAATAAGGAATTTGGAGTCAGTGGACACAGACCCCCGTGTGGGTGCATCCCTGTGGGATCAGCCTTGCAGGTGATGCTGTGTGGGAGACCCCAGAACTTCTCCGAGGGGTTTGAGTGGTTCTGGTCTTAGTTCTGGTTTTGGTTCTGCTGCATTTTGGTGCACAAGGACCTGCCCAGCCGTGTCTGTGTTTGCCCTCAGGAGGTGGACGTGGTGGTGGCTCCGTGCCGGGGCTTCCAGCCGGCCGAGGACACCCTGGGCGAGTTCGTGAACCAGGTGCTGCCCGTGGTGACCTTCGCCATCAGCGAGGCCCAGCTGTCCCCCTCGGACCAGAGCGAGCTGAGAACCATCAAGGAGAAATTCTCCCTGCCCATTTTCTTCTTCCGCGTGCCCGAGGCCGGCGGGGAGCTGATCTCCCCCAAAAAACCCGACAGCGACAAGTCCCCCCTGCACTGCCAACTGCTGGACCTGCAGTACCTGAGCTCCAACCACTGCAGCTGCGGGGCCAGCGGGGCCCAGAGCATGTTGGTGGAGCAGCTGGAGAAGCTGAGGCTGCTGAGCACCTTCTCCAGGCAGGTGCTGCAGAAGCACTTGGTGGAGGCGGCCACGAGCCTGAACGAGCTGCACTGTCGCTGCCTCAACATCTTCATCAACCAGGCCTTCGACATGCAGAGGGACCTGCAGATCACGCCCAAGAGGCTGGAGTACACCCGCAGGAAGGAGAACGAGCTCTACGAGTCCCTCATGGGCATCGCCAACCGCAAGCAGGAGGAGATGAAGGACATGATCGTGGAGACTCTGGGCAACATGAAGGAGGAGCTGCTGGAGGACGCGGCCAGCATGGAGTTCAAAGGTAGCTGGGCTGGGGGAGTGGAGGGGCTGGGGGGAGTGGAGGGGCTGGAGGCTCTAAAGGAGAGGGGCAGAGTGGTATTTGCCTTCTGCGAGGGGTGGGGGAGTGGTGGTCTGGACAAGGGACTCGGCAAGAAATTCAGAAGGTGCAAAATGCACAAAGATTTGGAATGTTCAGAAGGTACAAAATGCACAAAGATTCAGGTGTTCAGAATATCCAAAATGCACAAAGATTCACAGTGTTCAGGTGTTCAGAATATACCAAATGCACAAGATTCACAAGGTTCAGGTGTTCAGAATATTCAAAATGCACAAAGATTCAGGTGTTCAGAATATTCAAAATGCACA